GTATCAGCAGTATATTTGAACATTTGCAAAATTCTACATAAAGACTTCTAGATGGAACATAAGAAGAAAGAGAAAAATGAAACAGGCAGTAAAGTCCCAAATAGGATAAGAAAAGTTCCTAGAGGCTATGGTCATGTCTCAGTATCCATTCAGATTCTCTTAACACAAAACAACTTCAAAACAACTACCCTAAAGGTAGGGTAGCCAATTTCCAAAGGGGACAAGGCTTAAAAAAAAGGAAGGAAACAGCACATAAGTTGTTTGGGGTTTTTTTTTTTTGCTTTGTTTGAACGGAGCAGGCGATTCATGACTCTTGACAGCATCTTCGAAGTCAGTATTGATGTTTTAAACATAGTACGAGAAGCAGCAAACACCTACAGTTCACTGAAACACAGCTCTTTTCCTTATGGGTCTTGTTCGAAAGAGATTATGAAGTGAGGTGGGGCAGATGGATGAAGTATTTGTTGAACCAGAACAAGACACCAGAAAACAGTCTCTTCCGAGAGCCCTACACAGCTCGACTTCACTCTAGAATCCTGAAGGCAATGTACCATTGTCTTCTATTTTAGTGTTTTGATTAACTCCTTAAAACAAGAGGTCCAAGAAACAGACACAGGTCTCTGTACAGAACCCAGGGTCAAGGATAGGATCTTCTGGCACATAATTGATGCATCAGCCATGCTCCAAATTACAGTATCAGCTGCACCTAAAAGAAGTACAACCAGTGAACTGAACTGTCAACAATGCTGATAAACGAGTGTGACACCACTAGGGATCACATCACATAAATCCTATGTAATGCAGCACCCTGTGACTGTATTTGGCTATGACAGCTTTGAATATAGCTGAACTGCACTGAAAGAAGCCAGATGTAAAAGTATTTTTCTTCTCTCTCCAAAGTAACAAATTAGACTCTGAATTCCTTAACAATAATTCTTTTGAAGTTTTGCACAGCTGTATATATGAGGGATGTAAATAAGACATGTATGAAGTATCTTAATTTCTGTTATAGGGATTTGACATCTAAAACTAATTCCACATACTATGAAGCTACAGCCAGCTCAAGTTTACCACAGCGGGTTTCCAGGCAAGCTTCAGACACTGCCCATGTAAAAAGAATTTAGTGTCCTCTCTGAACTGCCCTACTGCAATGAGCTGTGCAAAACCTTCACCAGAAACATAAAACACACATGGTACTCTGAACAGCACGGAGAGTTGGGAATCCCCAGTGCCTCCAACTGTTGCATTTTTCTGAAATAGGAGAAATGATCTCTTGTTCCAACACATCCCGGACAACAGAGACAAACCTCAACAGAACAGGCACATCTCAGTGCCAGTGAGCAAGTGATGCACCTAGGAGGGGGAGAGATGTACATTTACTATGTCCCTGTGGAGGTGGATGGAGATAGCTGTTGTCAAGTCCCAAATGGGTAGATTAAGGAAAAAAAAGGTTCCTATGCTTCCTTTCTGAAGGGGAAGAGACAAAGTTTCTACTCCACTGGAGCTGCAATTACATACCATAGCTCCTATGGAAGTTTTCCATGGAGCTGGAAATGTTTTCCCATGTTTTGTCAGGCAGTAAAGAACAGTCCATTTGAAAAGTAGAGCCAGTGGCTCCACAAACTGAATCCAGTCTCGCAGAGTTTTCTTATAATACGACAGCATTTCTCTCTGCTTCAAAGCAGGACTTGCAAAGAACCTGCATAAGTAGGACAGTGCTTCTGCTCACAGTAGAGTGACTCAACATGAATGAACAATTTGCACATCAAAAGGCAATGCACCAACAGCAATACACCCATACGAACCTCCAAGAGTCTCAGTGTTGAGGATTCAAAAATTGGTGACAAGCAAAGCACTTGCTCCACAGATCAGCAGCCACTATCACAGATTTTGCAGCATGAGAGCAACAGCTCATCTGTACCACAATTAGGCACAGGATCCTCACAAGCTTTTCTGTAGCAGCCATATAGGGATGCGAGATTATGCCAGGAGAAGGTGCAGAGGCAGGCCTTCAAGCAGATGATTTAACCTCAGAGCATTCATCCTTCACCCTTAGCAGCCATGACTTAATATTCCTCCTAGATGTTTCCAGAAGGCTTCTTCCAAAAGATTGTGTGTCTGACAACTGTATGCAGACTTCTCAGCTGCTCTCCAAACATGGAGGGAGAGGAGAAAAATTAAAAAGGGAAATTCAAGAGGCTACTTTTATTTGTAGTTCTTTGATTTAAATGCTTTTAAGTAATATTTCCTTTTATTTTACCTTCCGTATCTTAAATGATTTTTTTTTTTTTTCCTTTTGATACTCGTGTCAATTTGGAGTTTCAGGTCAAAAAAATTCTATCCAAAGTGCACAGCTTTAGGCAACTGAATCCAGGCAGAAAAACTCCAAGTACATGTCTTTGCTGGTTCCTACAGCTTCCAGTGCTTTATAATTAGAAACATCTCAAACAATGGGACTCAACAGTTACAGCAAGTAATTCTGCTGCTGTTTTTCTTCCTTTACATCTAATGTACAGATAATTATCTCTTTTCCAGTTCTCAAAGGTTTCTTCAGTTATTTAATTTGCTCTACAAAACGTTGGAATTGCTTTTCAAGATGAGGCGTTAAGTGTAATCCACAGTCATTTCTCTTTTTATTCACTTTTTGAAGATGTTTCTCACAGCCCTTTGTCCTCCTTGACAGCTCCTGACAGTTTTATACGTTAGGATGGCAAAGGGAAAGTTGTGTCAAATACTATAGCTGCATTGGTGGCTGTCTGTACAAACGCTTTTTGACAGTTAGTAAGGTTAGATACAACAAAATTCCTAATGTTTTTATACTGCAGGCATTTAAGCATCCTCCTGGAACCAAAATTCATAGTGTTTGCCACTTTTTCCAGATGACAGCCTTGTAATTAATGATAATTTTATTTTAAACCTATAATCTTGATGTTTCAATCACCATTTGAGTAAACAGTGATGATTAAAACTGAAGCATAAAGTGTCCCTGGGAGATACTCTGGTACACAGCACATGAAGAATTAGTTAAACAATTTCCACTACTAATTCTGAATTCTACATATTTATTTCCATATTCAATTCAGTTTAAAGAAAACCAAACCTCTAAAAAGAACTTTTCAATAGATCTTTATAAACATTGCAATTACTACACACATTTCTCCTTTTTTCCTAGAAATCTGGAAACTATCATGATTATTCCTTAATAATTGGTTTATACAATTTTTAAACTCTTTGAATCTGATTGAAGTAATGGCTGCCGATAGGAATGACTGTTAAGTCAATATTTTGGTGGAAGCAAGATACCAAATATCTCATAAAAAGCTATCTGTTTCAGCGAAGTTATTCAGAGAAAAGATGCCACTTGCAAATTATGTGGACATATACATAATTCCTGAATGATTTCTAAAAGCACTTTGCAGACTTGAAACGTCCCTGATCTATTTAAGCTCCCTTAAACGTCCCTTCTCTCATTTAAGATGTAACACTTCTTGCTTAAGCTTTGCTTTTCTTTCTGTCCTCTCCCCAGGTTCCTCCAATCACCAAGTAATCCCTCTCTGGATAACCTCTTGGTTGTGCTCCTACAATTAACTTTATTTTAATTATTTATTAACTTCCCATTCGGGTAGAGGAGGGGAACAAGTGGAAACACTGGATGTCATCAACTATGAATAAGTCCTTACTGAGTGCCTGCTCAAGTTTTCTTTGTTCTGTATCCTGTAATCACACAAAAAAAAATAAAAGGAGTCACACTTGCATGACTCTCTATTCCTAATACCACACAAATGGTATGTATGCTCACATCCTTTCAAAACACTGGCCAGGAACACCTCTAATTAAAAACTAAGTATCACACCATGGTGACACTGAAATAAAAAACAACCTGGTATTAGAGACACAAGGCTCTAGTCCTGGAAAATCTTCAGTATATGAAGTTTTCCTTCTGAATGCTGTACATCTAACCAAAATAAGGGCATATCCACCCCCCACCCTCCCCCTTAGTATGGTAATGATATTTGTTTGATACTTACATTCTGGGGTAAATACTTAATACCCAATGAGTGGGATTCATTTTAAATTGAGACAAATGGGTACATCTGTCCACAGGTGTAGCAGATGTCTAGGCTCTCATTTTGCTAAAGGCAACTCTAGAGCCCATCCTAAAACAGGGACCTAGTACCTGGGTCAGCATTCTTTAGGCTCCATGGATTATAGGGATACGATCTTAATTTACTATAATGGTAGTGTAGTTACGTACACGTGGATACTAAATTGGTATGTCTAAGTCTCAAACAATTCCACCATCATGCCCATTCCAAGCTACTCTAAAAGACAGAATGAAAACCAAAAATCCTAAGACAGACAATGGAATTCATTACTTATGGGAAATCTTGTGAAGACAAACGGGGGATATTTCAGTTGAATGAGGAAACTAACAAGATGATGCATGGAACAATGCAAAATGATGAATACAGACAAAATGCAGCTCAGTCCTATTTGCTGTTTGTGCCGGGGACATGCCATTTCCGAATGCTTCACTCATTTGCTGTTTTATTTTTAAAACACAAATTTGCAAATGTCTAGGGAGTGACAGAGATCTTCTGAAGCAAACCAACCTATTAATCTAGGTGCACAAGAAAGAATAAAAAATTGTACAGTCATTACTTTGAATATCTACACTATATCTTCATATAGCAAGAGAAACAATGTGTTTTTCTCTCATATTTTCTATGAAGTTGTTTTAATCTGCCTTGTTAACAATTTATAAAAGTCCTATACTCAGGAATAGACTAGAAGAACTTGCATGCATGAGCAAGAACTTTTTCAAATGCTTTAGAGCATTTATTGTCCATATAACAAAAAAGAACAATTACAAAAATCTCTGAGAAGTACTCTTCAAAATATAATAAGACAAACTAATATTTTAAGAAGTGCATAAAAGCAGGAGAATATTACAGTATACTGAAATGGTGTAGGAAAGATGGAAGATGTTTTAAACTTACCCTATTGACATTGTTGTTTCTTAAAATAATCTGAATTAGATTTTTCTTAAATTCTTCCAGCTTCTTGAAACACTTCTTCAAAACATGATTAGATAATTTAGTATCAGTTATTAAACTGATCAAAACACAAACTGCTTCAGTAAGAAAATTAGAAACTGGAAATTTAGGACTGTTGTAAAAAATAGTCAGTCCATCAAGCAACTGAGACACTGAATTGAATACGGTGAAAGAATCATTCTCAAGCTCTGTGAAGTCTGCTTGAAGAATTCCTCCTTCTGACAGTTTTCTTATTTCAAGCAGATGTTGCAAAAACTGCACTGGAGCAGTCAGAGATTCCTCCTTGCTAGTACAGCGAAGATTGAATGGGGGAACTCTTTCCAACCAACGTTTAGAAGTGTCGACATGCTCAGATTGGTGAAAATCAGAAGCTATGCCTAAAGAATCAAACGCATAGTCATTAGACACATCACACCCAGAGTCTTCTAGCTGGCTTGAGTAACTCATAGGGTTTATACATTCCTGATCCAGAAGAGTTTCAGCAGAGGCATCTGGTTTTCCTGAAACACAAATGTAAAAGTTACGTTTGTGTGATACTTAAATACATGCTTATAGAAAGTGTCGTATTTCCTTTCTCGTTTTGCTTCCATGCAAAAATCACATAATACATACGTATGCTTGCTCCCCAAGAACTTCCCATGACTAGAATTTACTGTGGAAGAAGGTGACATTTTTAAATTAAAGTCAAAACTTTCAGAAGGTAGTATATGTGAACAAGATGTTTTATGCTCATAGTAATATGACTAGCAATTTTGAGTTTAAAATTCCTCATAGTTTTAAGTTTTCACATATATCATTTAAGTGGACATCACACAAACAATTTAAGTGGACATCTATACTCTCATTAATTCCCAGGGAAGGAAATGCATGTAAATTTCTGGCCCCCCAAACATTTTCACTACTTTTATTCTCAAGAACTCAGATTGCTTTTAAAAGACAGTGAAGATCTGTTACTATAAATGCATCAAATAAGATCTTCTCCTTTACTTGTACTCTTTCTCCCCAGGTCAGGTAAGGAATTCTAACAGAGTCAAAGTTGCACAGAACATTACACTTGAGCTGTTTATTATTTAACAAAGAAAAACATTGAGAATCAAAAATTTCTCTAGTCACCACCTGTATCTCATATCATCTTCTTCAAAGACACACAAACTACATTACAGAAGATATGCATTGCAGTCACACCATTAAATTATTTTCGTACACCATTGTAGAATCTCTTTCATCCTATTTCACACATTAGATACATTTAAGTCAGTGCCTCTGGGCATAAACTCAGTGCTAAGTGACAACAGACTCCCTCTGTGCTATACATGCTACCTATGCCAAAAGATTACAGTCAAAACAAGCAAGAGACATTAGAGCAGTGAAGTGGAAGACCAACACGCGTAAACATCTCGGTGCCACGAGGCAAGGCTAGAACCCCATCTGACCAACTCCTGGCTGTGCCCTGCTTACTGGGGCACAGCCACAAACTGCTTCTCCTCTCACTCTTAAAAAACATGCATATACTGTTCATATTTTCCACAAGGATCCAAAGCAATACCATACTCCTCTGTGTTTGTATGCTTAAATGAATAAAAAGATTTTATAGATGGTTTGGTCTGATGGGATATAAATGTTGTATTTCATGGCAAGTTAAAAAAAGGCATTTTTAACACAGAAAACATCACTAGGTGGCAATCTACAGTATTCTGTACATTAATGAAACACTACTGTCGAAAAGTTTATACAGACTTCATTAAATACACAATTTCAAATGGAATTCTGACTATTACTTCAGTCTCTGAAAACATACCAGATCATCCAATGAGGGTACTACTACTGAGATCAAAACTGGAAACGTGGTTTATTTATTTATTGTTGAGTTTCATGCCTTCAACATTCAGTCATACTCAAAATTGAACAGGATTGGTACCAACTGACTCACTAACTGTATGGAAATCAACCAACAGTTCCAGGAGGTAGGAAAAGCAGGTCTTGTAAGGCCAGCCTAGCATTTTATATATTAACACTGTTCCCAAATGCCCTGCATAGCCAAACTTGGAAAGCAAGCAAAGAAGCAAAGCACACTTCCCATGGTCTGACTAACAGAAACGGGCATCAATCTTTCATGTCTTCTCTCCCTAGGGTTTTGAGCAAAAGACATTCTAGAAGAAAAAAATTGAAAGTTGTTTTTGGTGCTGTTTAAAGAAAATAAGCCCTTCTAGGGAATCCATCTCCTGTGAGTTTCACTATGTGGATATTTTGTTCCTGTTTTTAACCCCATGGGGCAATATGAAAATTGATCATGAGGACGTAGCGCCAGGAGTCAAAAGAAGCAAAGCAAGAACTATGTGCAAAAAAACCCAGATGTATGTTCACTGATTCTCTTGTTGAAGGAAAAAAATAGCAGAGGTGAAAGAAAGGAGAAGGAAAGAGAAGAAAAAGGGAAGACAAGAATAATGCAGAAATATCCATAGGAACCAAACTTAAGACCACCCCCAAATGAAAAAGGTAGCATATACAATGAAACACTCCTACCAGTAGGAGGCAATGTTGGATTTATGCTTAGGTTCCTACTCACTGAGATACCAAACTCCTGTCCCATGATAAGCTTCCAGAAAACCCCAGTAGCAGCCTATTTCCTGTTCAACGAATAATACAAAATGCTTTAAAAATGTTCAGTCATTGATATGTTCTAGTCATCTGGGGAGGAGGTGGAAGTTATCTTTTAAAAAAATTAATGAATCACCCACCAGGAAATACTCATTATTTCCCCCAAAATGTCTAGAAAAAGTTTATAATTTATTTCTTGAAAGAAGGTAAACTAATCACTTTGTACTTGCCTACTATTTAAATGAGAAAGCAGTCTTGATGTTCACACCATGTGGTTATCAAGTACAAAAAAACAAAAACAAAAACCCAACCCAAACAGCATTAAGCCTGCCTCACACTAACAATCATCTTTAAACAGTAATTTCAAGAACATTTGAATATAAATATACTGGAACAAGAAATACAAAAATTTAGTGTGCGTGATAACCTAACCACAAAATTTTACAATGCCTTTATCTAGGTAATGAAATATCTGGTCATGAGCAATTTTACAGCCCATTTAAATATGTCACATCAGATTCAGGAAATATTTAAAGTCTTGACTCCTATTTAGGACTTTAGCTCCTTACTACATTAAGATCCTGAGCTGAAAATCAGAACTGTGTGCTCCCCAAACAAAGCAAGATACGGTCACAAGAACAGCCTTGGGTTGAAAAGGCTGAAGAACGGACATCCCTCTACATGTATCCACTAATGCAGAAAGTGTTTGGCCAGAAAACCAGCAGTCGTTCAAGGGACAAGGGAGTGACTTGCATACTGTGTATAGTGTGTAAGCAAGGTTTGTAGGCACTTCTGTGAAGCGTAAGAACTCAAATGCACATACTGCTGTGGGACCATAGAACACGGAGGCTTTTATCAGGGGAGTGAGATGCCAGTAAGTCTTATGATTAGAGAGTGTGGAGTCTTCAGCTAGTCCTGAGGAAGTGGAGTGTGGCAAACACCAAAATCCACCCCATCTCCCAGGTGAACTCTGTCACTTCTGAATAGCCACCTTAATACAGACACCAAGACTCAGTTCAGGGACAAGAAAGGGAGGAGGGGGAGCCAGCTGCTTCATCAGGACAGGAAAACACCTTTTGTCTCCAGAGTGCCTGTTGCCAGCAGTATGGTCATAAGGATTCTCAGAGCTGTGAAGAGACAAGGGAATGACCCAGCTCCTGGTCCTATTCCTCTTATGGAGTAAGAGAGGCAGCATTTGTAATATCCATGTAGCAGGAGCAGGGGTGGTAGAAGATGCTTTCTCAGACACCTGCACTACTGGTTGTCCCAGACCAGACAGTGTTTGAATGAGGAAGGCCATGCTATATGTGGTTCAAAATTTAAAAACTGAAGAAGGGTCCTCAACTGATGAAATTGCTGTGGAATCATAAAATAGCCTTCAAGTCTTTTGAAAAACTTAATACACCTGCAGTTACACCACCAACAGGGATTGTAGCACAGAAAACGGGCTTGAAGGTGGCAGATGTAAGAAACAAAGTGGAAAGATGATTTGAATTCTGCAAAGAAAAAGTTACTTCAGTTTGAAGCAGTAGGCATTGTTTATATTCTCTCACTTTGTGAGCACACGCATGGATTATCACTTGAAAATCAAAAACAATGACATTAGACATGTAAAGCTCTTGTAAAACTCAGTTACAATTGACAGGCTCAGTTCAACTTCTAAAAAAAAAAAATGAGAGTTAAAAATTAGACAATCTTAGAAACCTCTTTGATGATACTGCATTCTGCTTTCCAAGTAGGTGTTCAGTCAATAACTTCTAAAAGGAAATGAAAACATATGTGAAATTATTCCTATTTTTTCCTATTGTGTTCACTTCTCCACTTCTGCATTTTTCAGGACTCTGTTATTCTTCATTTAATCTTCATTGATTGGTTTGTTACAAGTGCACTTTTCATGAACAATGAATCAAGTTTATTCTCTTCTTAAAAAAAAACCAAAACAAAACCAAAAACTCCTCACACGTATTAACTGTTTTCTTTACCTTTTCTTCATGTGTAAGACTGTCTCTATTCTGCTATTTTCATTACTAACCAAGCTGGCTGGTTGAGAAAAAACATATCTCCTCCCTCATGAACTTCTATGTGTTTAGCACACCATTGTTGTCCTGATCTGGAACCAAGCCAAACTTCTGTATATATCAAAGCAAAGAAATATTGTCTCACATATTTGAATATTTTGAAATAATAATGAAAAAATTATAAAAAGCTTCCAGGATTCTCCAAATGAAGAAATTTTAGAAGCTGTGTATCCCACACTTTGCTTCTGCATTTCCATGTTTTTTTTATAAACAGCTTGGAAAAGAAAGCTCTTCTTTTTAAAGCTAAGGTATTTCATGCTGACATACTTTGTCCCATTTAGGAATAATTTCACAGAAATGAATATAGGACTGAGTATCTAAAATTCTCAAATTAATTGTTCAATGACAGAATTTAAATGTTTCTTGGAAGGCTCAGAAGCATATACTTCAATTTGTTAGGGATTTTGCTTACATAAAGCATCTAAATGTTTAGAATTCAGTAAGAACTGAGAAGGATTTTGAGGATATAAATGTTCATTTTTAGGGGATTTCTGTAGAAGACAGTACAAATCTTTTGTAGTTCAAGTCAAATAAAGAATACTTGCAGCAAAGATATGGAAGGATCAATAATCAGGTGACTTGGGTCAGTTAATGCTCATCAAGCAGCTTTCACAACAATCTAACATATGCTTTACAATATCAACGATCTCAATAAGATGACTGAAATTTGAGTTCTAAGCTACATAGGTGATATTTCAAGATATTAAGTAAATTAATGTTACCTGTGAAGACTACCTGTCTGAACTGGTAGTACTATGTCTTATTAAAAATTATTTGCATCATCAAACAAACTGAACTTCGCTAAGAGACAAGTATCAGCCAGT